CTGCCCCCTTATATATTTTTTTTAATCCTGCACAGTTGCACCAGACGAATTTGTATTTTTCTGTTCTCTCTGATGTTTGTTCTCTCTCCGTTATTTTTTACGGAATAACGGTTCAGAAGTTACTCAACACAGAAATCGGCAGCAGCATCTTATTTAGCCAATATGCTATGATTTCCCATTTCTGTAACGAAACACAAATATCGCTGAGGCTGTCGCCACACAGGCATCAAGGTGTCTCACCTGTAACAAAATTATTGCACGTGCACATGCACATCACCCTTCCAAAACCTCTCAGGCCCCCAGAGTATCAGTTCAGATGTCTATGCGTTTATCTGAAAATGCCTGTCTTTCTAAGTAGCAAGTTATGATATTTAAACACAAAGGTTCAGTTCACGTTTTGCTCATTCTTTTAACCCCCCACCCTAAAGAGACACGTATAAGCATACACCGACATCTGCGCAGAGAAGTTTTTCAACTATAAAATGGCTTTTTTAGGAACAAAACTACCAAACTTCTGAAAACATGCTATTTTCAGCTTAAAGTGCAACCTCCCTTTATCACATGCACTAGGTAAATCTCTTCCTGTTACAGCTTAGGTCTAAATACTTTAATCCACAAAAATATTTGTTAGGCATAAATGATAATGCTGTACAAAACTACAGACAGTCATGACTGCCAAAGTTTGTAACCCAAGAACATAACTCCCCAAACGCTTGTTTCACTGCACCTGTCTGTAAGAGGCATCACAATCCAGAGAAGCAAACGTCTGTTGAGACGGCTGTTAAAAGTTTAACGATGTAATTACATTAGCGTCCTTAAAGATAAGGCCAGGGCAGAATGTAAAACAAAGAAACACCATTATTTTTACATGCCCAGACTATAGGTGGAAGTTACCTTATCCTTGAGGTCAAGGACACGGAAATTTCTACCTGTATCATCATAACGAAAGCAAAAACAAACACTATTTATTACCAATTAAGAAAAAAAAAAAAAGATAGTCCTATACGCAGACCCTGGAAAAACTAGCATTCATTTTAGCTCGAGGTAAAAATTGTAATAGTGATAGCAATCCCAAATTCTTGTGCTTCTACTTTCTTTACTCAGAATGCTTTTGCATTTGCACTTGGTAGATTAATGCAAGTTCTTTTAAGGCACTGCAGTCACTCTAAAACAATCCCGATGCAACTTAAGACTTTGGGTTTCCTACAGAATTACTAGAATGCAGCACTAGCTAACATTCAATGTTTTCTGTTCCTTTGGATGAATGTTTTCATACTAAAAAGCTGTGTCCATCTTGCAACTTATCCCACATGGACAGAATGGTGTTGATGCATTATCGATTATAGTGATAGCACCGACGCAAGTCCTAATTTAGAAGCGTTGAGATTTGTACTTAAAAAGCATGGCTAACATCCTTCCGGTTCACTCTTGAGGATTATGCTTACTTATGACATTTATTATCCAGACGTGATACACTGATTCTTCAAAAGATATGGCAGTTTTAGATAGTTTTATATCCCTGCAGATATCATTTAAAAGATGATCATTTAAAAATATTAAAATATTAATTTCCCATCTTATTTCTTTATAGTCCTAGTGCAAAACCCATGATTACATAAAAACCTGAAACCTGTATAGAAACATCTGAAAACAGCTCAAGTGTACTGACACACTCCTCTGGTTTAGGAATACCTGAACTGAATTAATTTCAATTTAAGATTTCCAGCAATAGAAAAAGAACAGCAAAAACTTGTAATTCGAAATTAATTCAGTTCAGTTCAGGGCACACAAGGAACGAATGTTTTCAATGTAAGCGGTAAGGTTATACCTGTGTAATCATTAGATAATTAGATGTCCCTTATATTTTATTGCCAAGAGTAATTTCTGCTTTCCAATAGCTATTTATGACATTTTCCCACAGAGCATCTGTTATCAGTTACCATCATCACAGTGCCTAATAATCTAGAAAAAGAGATCACCATCCAGTTTTAATCTGCCCCTGGGGAGGTAATAGTACGTACCTTTGCTAGATTGCAAAGCCACTTCTGAAGAAAATCACAGTTTGTAGCACTTAAGAGCATTATTTTGCTTTTATGATCCCTTTTGCTATATTTAACATTTACGCCTGTGCCTAAAGCGTTCATACCAAGAGTGAAATGGAAAACTAAGCATTCCTCTATGAAAAAACAGTAGATGCTGTAATCCATTTTCAAAAGCTTTAAAGGTAATGCCTCAGTCCTGCAACGATTATAAGCTGTAAATGCCTCAAGTCAGTGATGGCCGACGCCACTCAACAGCTGCCAGAATTTGCCAAGAGCAGCAGCTAAAAACCATGTACTCCATGAAATGAGTGCTCTACAGGCTTTATACGCAATGTTCCCATAGAGATCAGTGGGGCACCATGCCCAGCTCAACGGGATGGTCTCATTTATAACTGGCATCCTAAAGCCAACTCAGTCCCGTCACAATACACACACTACACACATTGTTTTAGTGACTGCTTCCAACCAATTGGTTAAAGTCAAACACACCAGAAATTTTATGCTGGCATCTTAAGATTACACACTTATTGTACTGCTGAATTCCTAAGTTTTAAGATCTTCAGTCATGGGAAAGGAGTTAGAAGAGAGTATTTAGAAAAATGGCCTGAAATTAGAAGACAGGAGTAGAAATATAAGTAGTACCAAACTACTGTAAAATAAAGGACAGTTCTGTTATGTGTGCATGTTGTTGTTCTCGGATCAATGACTGAACAGTTACAAGTATATTTACTATACAATGCATTACAATAAAGATCTATTTTTATAGTACAGAACAAGTAATCTACAAATAATCAATTACATTTTTTCTATGTGTTTCTTTTGGCAAATAGCTTTTGTTTCTGCAGCCACGTGTTTTGGAATTTGTGTTGTTCTTCAAGTCCACGTTCAGGCTTTTAAAATGTGTTTCTTCTTCCTTTTTTGCCTTGGTAGGGATAAAATGACTTACCTATTTCAAAGTCGTGTAGTAAAATGAGGGATTGTTGCAGAAAATAATTTCTAACTTCATAATTAAATTAAGTCATACCAGGTATCATGCTGTGGCCTTTGCCAAACTCAAGCAGCACGTGGTTGCTAATATTTTTCACAGATAGTAATGCAAGAATAAAACAAATCCTCACTTGTATGCTACATGGTGTATACTGAGTGGAGGGGACGGACGAGGTTCTTGTGTTTCACGAACGCTGCTCTAGACACAAGAAACCTTTTCTGTCTTGTACCACTCAAAGTAGTTCAAGCATTTGGTTTCCAGAGAAACTGGTTGTTTGTAAAACCTGACTGACCACAGCTCATAGAAGAACTCTTTTCTTCTCAGAAGACTCAGAAAGTCAGCTGCTTGTTTGGGTTTAGAACAAAGATACTTATTACTTCTTATTTTTCATCAGCAAAATCCATCAGCAGCTGGTACCTCCTGACTCACAAGCATGCCAATTCAGCCTTGCAGTTTCTCATAGCTCTTCAAGCAACACAAGCATTGCAGGTCACTTTGTATTTTCTGCAACTTCCAGTCAGTTAATTTCATAATGCGGGGGCTGAGCTCCTTCCCATCGTTAAATAATTCACTCTGGCCTGTTAGAAAAACACTGCCTCTTCAAAAACCCAGTTACTGCTGACCAACAGCAATGTTCAGGAACAGCTGAACAAACTTATACCATTTAACGGCCTCGAGCAGGCACTCTGGAGCATCTGGATTCTTTTCATGAAAAGAGCCAGAAATTGAGCACATCATTCAAGGACCGCGCTCCTGAACAACAGAGAGGACCGAATGTCTTTCACAGATAAAGTGACATATTGGCTTACATAATGGGGATTAAAATAAGTTAAGCTAAAGGACACGTATCTGCACTTTACCCATTTTGTCTCAGATATTACACAAGCAGACACCCTAATGGATTGAACAGAAATGTTTTTTTCATGTTATTAGTGTTTAACAGAACTAGGAGGAACACGTAGAATTTTTCAAGTGTAACCTATTATCCACAGCAGGAAGGACACTCAATAGTTCACCTGACTTGGAAATTCTCCTCCCCAAACAACAGATTTTCCAAGCCTATGCCTTCAAGTGACAAATGATCCCCCAACGTTATGCCTCTGATAACATTAATTTTAAACCTATAAGATTTATTGCCGTGGTTATTTCTTTGCATTCCCCTCGGCTGGTTTTTGAACTGCAGCATTTTTTTTTCAAGATTGCGTACACTGTTATAACAACCATCCAAAAATGGATTGCATTCAATTATTATAACTACCATAGCTATGAACACTAAAAGCTAAAGCTTTAGAACTACCAAATATTATAGAAAACAGAAATTGCCAACACTGTTATAAATTAGTACAGGCAAAAACAACAAAAACCCTCCATGGTATCCAGAGTTATATACTTAGAGGAATAAGAAACTTCAGAAAATGTCAACTCTCTCTTACAAGTGTGCAGTTACTCAAACATCCATCCATCCATCCACCCACCCCTGACAGCAGGTGCCCAGGGCACGAGCCCACCAGGCCTAGCAACTCTCCCTTCCACACATCCAGCCTAGCCCCACAGCACTCAGCCTCCCTCCTCTGCAATCACGCGAGTTTTCCTGCCCCTTTATACACGGCTGAAGCCAAACAACCTAAAGAGACCTCAAAGCTCCTATTTGGGCAGGAGCCTCAAGCTCGGCCGCCATCTTGACTGCGGGCAGTATGGCGGCCATCTTGGGTGAGGCTCTTCCCTCCCCGCTTACACACTAAGCCAGAGCCGTTGCCGTGCGCGAGGAGGGAAGGTCTAGTTGCGCACGTGTTTGCCCTCACTGAAAATGGCCGCTGGCGTCCGGCATTCTTCTTAAGCAGCGCGTCTCGATGGTGTGTCCTAGCGGCCGGTTTGGCGCTGCTCTATGGTTCGGGGCGGCGGGGCCCCGGAAGTGGCGGTGCCCGGGCGTCCCATTCAAAGCGCTTCCCCGCGCGTGTGCCGCCGCGGGGCCGGGCAGGTAGTGCC